TATACATAGTACGTTTAGACACCGCGTGTTTAACCTTATAGGAACGCTAAATAAACGGGGTAGCTACGACGATTGCAGGCTAAAAGCTCGATAGTTGATTTTTTTAACCTCAATTTTCATCTGCTCGGTGGGCATACGCTTATTACATTATTCAGTGCGGTCTATGAATGAAAAGTGCAAATATTCGTACATGTATTTTTTGTCGACCTTTTCGGAAATTCACCAATCATCGCCAACGCAATTCTTCTATGTGCTACTTTTTATTAAACCCTAATCTGTTAGCGTATGTTAATTGCCGTAAAATATTTAAAGTGAAAATTATCCATATGAAAATTGAAATTTTCCGTATTACACGGCTATTTGCAGCTAAAGTTCATCACGGTACATCATTAGATTATTTTAATAAATGCGAACAAAGCAGTACGCCATATTTAGCTAACTTTTATGCGTACCTTTAAAACTTCATTATTTCTGCTCATAGACGGTACAATAACTCGATTATCATCACCTCTGTGAGGTTTTAACTGTATTTGCTTCTTGCAAGTAAGCCCAAGGAAACTTTGTACTATTAAATTTGATGTGATGTTATTAAATAATGTTCAATTATGAGTATTACGTGTTAAATGTTTGCGAAGTCATATGTATATGTCCGCTTCTCATCAAAATAACCCTGTTCGTGTTTTGAATTTCGACAATTGATTTTACAATTTAGAATATTGAAACTTAGTTCGAAATATTTCAGGGCATAGGAATAAGTATTTGTTTTCAATAATATTATCGCTGTTTATACAGCGTGAACAATTTCTAAAACAAACTTATTTTACGAAATAGAATGGGGTTATTGTGTTTGGTAAGCGAACTTGTTTATGTTGTATATCACTGACAGTCCTTATCCCATATTGCCGAGTATCTAAATCCTGCTAGTGCTAATAATCGGAATATAATTAAGGGATTAGTACAATTTCTGTGTACTATTCAGAAATTGGCGCTCTGATATCTGATATAAGTTCGAAATTGAAAAGCGCAGGTTTGCATGGAAGTTTATTTCATATATACGGGTACTAATGATGAATATTTAAATTTACTATCCAATTACATACCACCCACTTGTTTCCACGTGTGGCAATTGAAGGAAATCCTACTTACCCTCTGGTTTCTAAAGATAAAAGTCGTATCATACTTTTAGCAGGTTTAAGCATCCCGAAGGGCCACAGCAGATAATTTCGCAGAAGGACAAAACAACCAGACGTCAAAGTAATAGTATCATCCGAAAAAATACCTAAACGAATCGAAACCATTTTTTGTCACTCAGCTCGCATTCGGAAACCAGATTTTGAATCCGGCTCATATTCAATAGCACTAATCCTTGAACTCTTAAAAATCAACAGAAACGTAAGAGTGGTTCTAGGTGAAGAATGCCGTTCCATTTCCTTGTTTTTTAAAGTATTTGCTGTAACACCGACTACGACTTGCGCTCGGTGATTCTGAAAATTGAATCTGAGATTAAATCATGCTGATTCTGTAATTCATCAGTCTTTTCTCGGAGCACACGTTTAGCTTTAAGACACTCTTGTGAAATTTTACGAGCTCTGATTGACCTCTAAAGGGTCTCCTTCATCATTTATTTGCTCAATATGTACTTGAGTGCCATCTTGTTACTAATCTGTAACAGACGACACAAACAAACAAATAATAGGGGTGGTGAATAGCGCGGCACATAAACTATTGCGTAACACGATACACCAAGAACTTCATAACTCCTAAACAAAATGAATAAGTTTAGAAGCTACCGTTTTCTTAGTAACGAAGCGCCCAATTATTCGTCCATATATAATGGGTGGTCATCAAAGCCGGTATACTTCAAAGCGGAAAACGAGTGCTTCCTTACACACCCCGTGAAAAGAGTGAAAGTCTTTTGGGCAGGCAAACCTAAAACGACAGTAACGATAACTTTTGATAAACAAACCAATTATCAAACAGTGACATGGTTTATTTAGAGAGACTTTTTTGTTCAAGATCCGAGGCTCCCAGTGTCCCGAAGTACACCGACGGCACTCTGGTGTTCACTGCCTCCCCAAGACCCCGTACCTCGAGCAGAACATCTGTCCCCTTGACACACGACAGGACCTTCTCTAATGACCCAGACCGCCACACCTCGCAACATAAATGTACCGCCCAAACTGAGCCCCTCGCTGCAATCGCACATATGCCCTACCTTTCGACACCGTTTGTGGTCCTATAGAATGAGTCGCTCCCCACGACCATATTTGGCGGATCTAGACCTTGTCCCTCAACCGGTTGACTTACATATCCACAGAGCCTGCCCCAGGGGTGGGCGAACCGAGCGGCTGCCCAGGGCGGCAAATTTTAAGGGAAAACCAATTTTTGAAATTGAAGAAATAATAAATTACCTGTAGTATTTTAATATTTGGGGCGGCAAATTTGTTTGAAATTGAATAAATAATAAATTGTAGTGTTTTAATATGATCAAAAAGCCAGGAACAAGAGCGACAAAAACCAAAACTGTAGAAATGATTAAATAAGTGCAAAAAGAAAAGAATAACAATGCAAAGGTTCACGTTCATGCGACGCGACCAGAAAATCCACAACATTCAGCAGACTGATAGCGTTAGCACAGACTGCTGACTTTGACTGATGATTAGCCGAGTTCGGGTTTCCGCAGTTTGTTGCACTTTTACTTTTAATCGCAGTCTGTTACATTACAGTTCATATCCATATGTGCCGTTGAGTCAGGTGATAATTGTATGTTCGTATTTTGTAGAAGTGTATACGCATTTTCTTTCTTTTTTAAATAAGTTTAGCTTAGTTATTGTATACCTTACCTATTATAGTGTAGGTACGCGTACTGTGTAGTTTCCGTCATTCCGTGTGTTAACCGTCGCCCGTCGGTTAATGATAAATTCAGTTAAGTAAGGTTGCATAAACCCACTTACTAACCATAGTGTTTCGTGCTATTTCGAAAATATCTGTTTTGTGCAAGTTCAATCATGGACGGTAGTAGAAAACGTCTCTCTGGTAGCCAGTACAGGAAAAAGAGAGCAGAAAAAGAAACTGAAGCAAAAAAACTTAAATTTTCTCTGGCTAAATTTTTGAAGCCATCAGACTGTCACGACGACGGTGATGAGAAGTTTTTTTTTTTTTTTTTTTTTTTTGAGTTGGATCCATCGTTCTCCGAAAATGGGGGTTGAAATATATTATGTTATCAAAAATCTCTAAACCTTCCCCATATAGTTTTATTCGTTGAAGTTTTTTTAAAAATAACAGCGACTATAGTTTCGGCGTACTGCCATCATCAGGCGATGTGAAAGTTAACAGGAAAACGGTAAATTACAAACGTTGAAGACGGATAAGACGAACATGTTGTTTTTTTTAATTATAAACTGGCCGAAGCCAAGTGAAGAACCTGAAGGGTGGTTAAAACGGAAAGGTTGTCCTAAGTTTCAAGACGAATTAATTATCAAGCCTTGTTAAGACAACCAACCGGGGGGTTGAATTTTTACATTAAAGTTGAAATTTGGGTTAACACATTTCAAAAGAACGGGGGGGAAAAATTAAACTTATAAAAGTATTGAAACTATTAAGATGACTACATATTTAAATTATTTAAGTAAAGTTTAAATTCGAGATCATGCAGACGGCATGTCTCGAAATGATTGACAATTCGGTAGATTCCCCCCCGTTCTTTTGAAATGTGTTAACCCAAATTTCAACTTTAATGTAAAAATTCAACCCCCCGGTTGGTTGTCTTAACAAGGCTTGATAATTAATTCGTCTTGAAACTTAGGACAACCTTTCCGTTTTAACCACCCTTCAGGTTTTTCACTTGGCTTCGGCCAGTTTATAATTAAAAAACAACATGTTCGTCTTATCCGTCTTCAACGTTTGTAATTTACCGTTTTCCTGTTAACTTTCACATCGCCTGATGATGGCAGTACGCCGAAACTATAGTCGCTGTTATTTTTAAAAACTTCAACGAATAAAACTATATGGGGAAGGTTTAGAGATTTTTGATAACATAATTTTTTTTCCGGGTCGATCTGAGACAATTTTTTTTTCGGGGCTCAAAAAAAGGCAGTGTATAACCTTCCTTTTTTACCAAAATTCGACTACACCAAAATTTCTCGGGAAAACACTTTTTCTTATTAATTTTGGTGCGTAGAATCCAAAACAATTCGTACTTTTTCGATCAGACTTCTCAATCAAAAGTTATAGACTAGAAACCAATTTCGAAAGAAAATTCAAAGGGCTGTAACTTTTGAACTAGTAGCCCAATCTTGGAAATGTTTGAAATTATGGATTCTACAGGCCACATTCTATAAGAAAATTTTTTTTCCGGGTCGATCTGAGACAATTTTTTTTCGGGGCTCAAAAAACGGCAGTGTATAACCTTCTTTTTTTACCAAAAATCGACTACACCAAAATTTCTCGGGAAAACACTTTTTCTTATTAATTTTGGTGCGTAGAATCCAAAACAATTCGTACTTTTTGGATCAGACTTCTCAATCAAAAGTTATAGACTAGAAACCAATTTCGAAAGAAAATTCAAAGGGCTGTAACTTTTAAACTAGTAGCCCAATCTTGGAACTGTTTGAAATTATGGATTCTACAGGCCACATTCTATAAGAAAATTTTTTTTCCGGGTCGATCTGAGACAATTTTTTTTTGGGGCTCAAAAAAAGGCAGTGTATAAACCTTCCATTTTTACCAAAAATCGACTACACCAAAATTTCTCGGGAAAACACTTTTTCTTATTAATTTGGGTGCGTAGAATCCAAATCAATTCGTACTTTTTCGATCAGACGTCTCAATCAAAAGTTATAGACTAGAAACCCTGGTTTCCAGTAATATGAAAGGTGCTTTATATTGTTTATATTTATATTGTCAATTACTGTGATTCAGGCACTTTTAATGGCTTCAAGCACTTTAAATGGCTTCAAGCACTTTCCAAGGGCTTGGTGCTTTGTATTTTCAATTACCGTAAACTCTGACAACTTGGGACACCCTGGCAACTTGGGACAAACATGCGCATTTGCGGAAGTGGAGTACTCCTCACCTTGGTTTTTAGATCAGCTGTTTCACTGGCAACTGATTTTACGTTACAACGTATCAGCTTTTGCAAACCGCGTTATTTACGTTTATACTTCGGGTGGTTTATTGTTAATTACCTGTTTTTGATTCTAATTTAAATAGCTAAAAAAAATACGTCATTACAACTTTGGTTATATTTAGATAACGATTTGTGGTATTTGTTGTTTGGGTAAGTATGTTTATTATCTCAAGTTTTGCGCTACTGTTAATCACAAGTTTACTGTTTTATTAAATTTGATAGTTTGTTAATTTTCACTTTTAATTAATCGCGATCAATAGGTTACAACATGGGACAGCGTCCCAAGATGTCACACCTTATGTCCCAAGTTGTAACTCGTGTATTATCTATATGATCCGATTAATATATTAATCATTCCTTTCATTAAGGCTTTAGCCACTATGCCTGGCTCTCATAATACAAAAAGGAGAAAGGTAGGAGCAAGGACTTACCGCAACTTTTCCAATGAACAGTTGGAAAAAGCCATAGATGAAGTGAAAAGTGGAAAATTGTCCATAAGAAATGCGTCTGAGAAGTTTTCCATCCCCAAATCAACTATTGCCAGAAAAGTTAAACAGAAAAATATGAATGATCCCGGCCATCCAACAGCACTCACTCAAAAAGATGAAAATATAATTGTAGAAAAAATAATACAAGCTGGAAAATGGGGTTTCCCATTTTCCCGTTTAGACATACAACGAATTGTTAAATCAGAGAGGCCGTTACAAGTTTGTTGGAAATTAGAGGATTTTTTTTGTTTCATTCGCAAATATTAATCACTTTTATTTAGAATATATTCTTATTTTATTACAATAAATTTGTTGTTTTTTCTCTGTTCTTTTTAAAAACAATAAACGTGTCCCAAGTTGAATATACGTTCTACAAATTGAAGTTTTCTATGCAAAAACATACCTGTCCCAAGATGTCAACTTTGTGTTACAACTTGGGACACCCACTTTTTTTTTAATATATACGTAAAAATCAAAATTGGCCAAAATGCTCTTTGGCGATGTTAAACAGTGTGAGAAGACCCATTAAAATAACACGCCCACCACCGCAAAAAATTAACATTCAGCAGTAATATGGCCCTCAGAATATGAAAACTGTCCCAAGTTGTCTGAGTTTACGGTACTTAGAAAGTGCTTGGTAATTTCAAGCTCTTTCATCACATAAAAGTGCTCGGTGCTTCAAGCCCTTTTCAAGAGGGCTTTACCCAGCTCTGACCCCATCGAACGAAGATACAGAAAAATCAGGAGAAACGAGGAAAATTCGCAGATTATATTAAAAATGCAGCAAATGAAAGAATACCACAAAAACTCAGACAAAGTGAAGAAAGTAGATTTTTATCTGAAGAAAGTTGAAGAATCAGAACAATCTATTGTAACGGAAAAGTCCTTTGAGTTATAAGATTCTAAAAAATTTCAAAAGTTGCCAAAAATCGAGGAATTCGAAACTCAATAATCAGAAAAAATTGAAGATTTTGAAGAATCTGATAGTTGTGAAGAAATTGAGAAAGCGAAAAGAAGAATTTGGAACATCCGAAGAGACGAAAAATGTTCACAATCTGATTTTGAAGAACTTGATTCGTATTTTTTTGGTTTTGTTGATAGTGAAAAGTCCGATGGATATCAAAAATAGAAGTAACAATCCGAAGAAGGGAAATAAACCGACCAAAATTGCTAAAATGCGAAGAATCGGAATAATTCAAAGAGAGCTTGGAAAGGAAATAATCAAAAAAATGAAAAGATACGAAGAAAGAAATATCCCAATAATTTGTGTAAAGAATCTGCAGAAATGGCAAATTAGAAAACCTGAAAAAATGCGAAAAATACGCACAACCACAGCAAATTCAAAAGAATAGACAGAATCAGGAGAATCCATGAAGACTGTGAAGAAATTAATGAGTATGAAAGGCTGTAACCTTATGAAACCTGAGGAAATGGAGAATCTGACTTGTTAATATGGACAATCGAAAGCATCCGAGGGTAGGGACGAATCCGGAGAAAAGTATGAAGATTACAAAAAATATGAATAGTGCAGAATGCAAAAAGAATCGTGAAGACACTCGCTAATTTTTAAATCATTAATACCCAAACAATTTCAAGAATCCAATGCGTCCAAAAACACCCAAAAGAATCCGAACAATATAAGGGTTGGTGTATCCCATGCCTTCCTCCCTCCCAGTACTTTGGGCTCATAGGCTACAAGGGGTGTTGCCTGATCTGCAATCTGCTTTCTCTATATAGGAGTGAGAAAGTGTTACTGAGGTTGGTTTGAGCAGAGGTGTTCATGGAAATTAAAACAATTAAAAATAATTTATTTCGTAAACACACTTCGCTACCTCTACTGCTTATCTACACAACATACTTTTAACGTCGCTTATCTTCGCTAATCGTCGTTTATTGCTCCAACCAGGCACTCTCTGAAATAAAAATTGATTCTGAGTGCGCGTTGCATACAAGGTCGACTTTGCAAACACTGACATGCTGGGATTTTTACAGTCTTATTCCAGCGATCTTACCTAACTGCTGTTAGTTATGATTAGCTCACGCTCTATCTGTTGAGTCGGGAATGAAAACATAGATTCTCCGCCTGAGGAGAGACGAGATAAAATAAATATTTATTAAAAATAAAATATATTAGGTATATACAGGATGTACAATTTCTTCGTGGTCGTACACTTAAAACGCATCTTTTTTCATATACCGGGACGTAGGCGGCGCAGCGTCGGCGTTGTTAATCGTGAAAACGGACTCCCTATAAAGATTCACGATCAGCGAAATAGTCGTGGGTAATGGACGCCGCGCTGGATACTTACGCTACTTTGTGTTAGTGGTTAGTTCACGTAGATTTCGGCGGTTAGTTTTTTTAGTTTAAGATCGCCAGAATAAAAACTGTAAAAGCAGACCGTGAAAAGAAAATAGGGTGAGGGTATAAAGCAGAAGCTGGATAGAAATGCAAGGTACGTACAACAAAAATTCCACTTAATGATGCATCAATCTCCAGCTGAAAGAAAATCATCGATTATAGCGATGGACATTCCACAGGAAGCGCTCCCACAAATTTTGTAGACAAACAAACGTGCAGTCCCGAAGCGACAAGTAAACCATGCACCCCGTACGTACCTCGAATACGATATCGGATCAGTCGTCAGTTGACCTTGGTTTACGGGGCCGTAGATGTACTTGTTGACGAATTGGTACCTCGTCAGGCCGGTCGCGCCCATCGAAATCGCCATGTGAATGGCAAGATACAAACAGAAGAGGAGATACAGGACGCCGACGATCACGACGAAGGTTAAAGCGACCCATCCCAGGTTGAAATTGGATACCGTCGACCCGATGAAGTAGGTGTTGATCGCGATGACAACAGCGCTAAGTGTCACTGCAATCATGGTGTTGACCCTAGAAGTCATTGGCTGTAAAACTCCCGCATCGAAATGTCAGAACTTGAAACTTCGAAGTTCTGACTTGCCACATTATAGGAAAACTAATTTTCTGACTTAACCTAGGGAATTCTCACTTGAATTAGTAACTTTATCGGAATTTCTGACTTTTATCGGGAAATTCTGACTTAAATACTCAAATACCGAAATTCTGACTTGTCTAGGAAATTCTCTTTATCGGAAGACGGAATTTTTGACTGTATTTCGCAAATTCGGACTTACCAGAGTGACTAAATTTAAAAAGTTGACTTACCGAACTCTCGAACGTTTCCATGATTGAAAATCGAAACTTTTTTACTTTACCACGGAAATTCCGCGTTTAAAAACTCTAAAAATCAAAGGTTCTCACTATCATGTAATTTATAACTTTACCTCGGAAATTCGGACTCTTATCGCGGAAATTCTCGATAACCGAAGGCGAAATTTCCGACTTATCCTCGAGAATTCCCACTTGAACTCATAATTTTCAATTTTATTCGTAATTTCTAACTTTACTCCGTAAATTCAGACTTGGAAATCGAAATTTCCAACTTTATCTCTAAAATTCCGACTTGCACATTTACCTAAACTTCGAAAGCATGATTTGAAATTGGAATTTTTGACAACCCCGAAATTCGGACTTTGCATTATCGGAAATTCCGCTTTATCGCGGAATGAGAAGCCGATTTTATCTTGGGATTTCAGACTTTACCCGTAAATTCCCACATGAAGTCAAAATGTCCGAAATTTCGACTTGCGTGTGTTAACACCGAAATTAAAGTTAAATAAAAATTTTCGGCTTAATCCCAAAAATTCCGACTTAATCTATTTTGGAAATTCTGACTTACCAAAGTGACTAAATCCAAAAAGTTGATTTTTCCAACTTAGACACTTCCTTAAACGCATAACTTAAAAGTTGAATTTTGGAGAACCCCATTAACTTAAACATAAAATTTTCGACTTATCTCGGAAATTCCTAGTAATTTTGACTCGGTCTAGGGACCCAATATACTCAAATTTACCTCGCAAATTTCGGCACAATTTTAAACCCCAAAATAATGATTGCTTTCGGAGGATCCCACTATCATAAGTGGGAATTTCTGACTTTACCGCATAAATTTCAACTTTATCTCGGAAATTCCGAAATTATGACTTGAAATTGCAATTTTTGAAAACCCGCATACTTTAACTCCCAAATTCCGGCTAGGAATTAAAATTTTCTATTTTACCTCGGAAATTCCTACATATACACAAAATTTAAACTCCGATATAATGATTCCTCTCACTATCATAAGTCGGAATTTCTGACTACTTCAAAAATTCTCAGCATCGAAAGATGGAATTTGTGATTTTACCACGGAAATAACAATTTTTTTGGAATTTCGGATGATCTCAGAAATTCCCAGCATCGGAAGATAAAATTTGCAATTTTATTTCGGAAATTCTGTCAGAAATTCCCACCATCGGAAAATGGAATTTTGCCACAGAAATAGCAATTATATCGGAATTTCAGAGTTTACCGTGGAATTTTTTCGCGGAAAACTCAGACTCTGGCACCAACTTGAACTCCGATCTCGGAAATTCTAAGAAATTTTCACTTTTGCAAGGACTTTACCCCATAATTTCCAACTTAGGACTTTAACTCAGAAATCCTAACATCGAAAGTCGTAATATCTGATTTGAACTCGACATTTCTGACTAACTTAACTCGGAGATTCTCATCAGAAGTCGGAATCTGCGACTATATTTGGAATTTCCAACTTCACCTCGAAAAATTCCGACTCTTGAAAGTCGGAATTCCACATTTTTCTTGGAAATTCTGACTTACACACTGAATTTCGGGATCAGAAACAATTCCGCGCAACTCAAAATTCCGGTATTTGGAAGTCAGGAATTTTGACCCTTCGTATGGTGCTCGCTACTTACTTTCCATTGACAAAATCTCCCATAATCAGTCGGTTACTGGTAAACGCAATGGTCGGGAATAACGCGAAAGGTAACTGCAAGCTCATCACGGCGTTCAGAATATCGTTCATTCCAGTCAAATCGTCGATGCTGGTATAAAATGCGAGACAAAATGTGGGAATGATCGCAATGCTTCTAGTTAAAAGGACACGCTTCCAGCGCGCCCACTGCAAATTTAGGAACCCTTCCATCGCGAACTGACCGGCGTAGGTACCTGCGAACGATGGTTAACGATTCGTGCAATTACCGACCGAATCCTCACCTGTCATCGTCGAACTTTGACCGGCCGCCAAAATACCTACCGCCCAGATGTACATCGCCGCTATGCCGAAAGTGCAGCCCAAAAAGATTCCTCCCTTGTACAGGTCGGCCTCGACGTAATCGTCGTTCGCCTAGAATTAATTCGAGATTATTCGTACGAGCTCGTCTCATAACCTTAAATTTCGCGTATTGAATTGAGCTGGGAATTCCGGGAATTTTGAATTTGGGCCACTTTGGCACATCACAATGACCGAATTTTGAGTTGAAATTCTGGTCACTTTTACATTGACAATGATAGCTCAAACTTCTCGTGTAGAATTGAGCTCAGAATTCCGGGAATTTAGAATTTGGGCCAGTTTGGCACATCACATTGAATGAATTCTGAGTTGAAATTCTTATCATTTTTAGTCAAACGTCTTGTGTAGAATTGAGCTAGAAATCCGGCGAATTTAAAATTTGTGCCAGTGATCAGTGAATTTCGAGATGAATTTCTGAATTTGCTTAGGAGCAATTTCCATGTTTTCTTTGTTTGTTTTTATACTTACGGGAAACAGTGAAGTCACATTGAATTGTGGATACTGCTCGCAACTATCCCGCTAAAAAAGAGCATTAATAATGGAAAAGAACCGCACGAAAACCACTTACAAGCTGATTATTGGTAACGTGATATAAACCATACGCGAAAACTGCCACTACGAATACATTAATAATAAAACTAACAAAGAGCGCGATAGCCGCCTCAATAAAAAAATACAAATTTGCATCTCGCACTTTCGCCTTATCCTTCCTGTCGATGTCCCTGGACTTGACCAGCGCCGAATGCAGATATAAATTATGCGGCATTATGATGGCACCTAAAATTGGGGCGGCCAATAGAAAATTGTCTCGTTACTTTTAACGCCGGACCTACCGACAATTCCGACGGCTTGCAAAAGGGCGGATGAATCACAGCCAGCGCACCAAGGGATGAACATCCCCTTGACCAGTTCGACTCCGTCCGGTTTCGACACGAAGAACTCGTACCCGAAGGTGACGGCCATTACGGTTATTAGAAAGCCGAAGAAGAGCTCCAACTTTCGTAGGCCGTACTTGTCCAAAAAGAGGAAGGTGAACGTGTCGACGATCGTGATCAGAACGCCACCCCACAGCGGGATTCTAAACCAAAAGATCTATTTTACAAATTTCGAAATACAAAAGGGCGCATAGTGAGCGCAAACAATTTCACGGGCATAATTTTAGGGGGGAGCATTGTTATACAACCAAGTTTATCAATAATTTGCACAACGTTGGGGCTTATAATTAATTACTGAACACATATCTATAACAGCGCAAAAATGACTCTGCCGCATAGGCGCGCATAATTGCCATTGGCGCAAATAAATGGGAAGTACATTATGGCGAAGTTATATCATTGGATATATTTCAATCGAGCGCATATTTGGCGCTGAAGTTACCATATATGACACTTACAATTTATACAAGGGCAAAAACCGTATTCCAAAGGCGCAAAATTCACACTGCGCATATTTGCCGCTTAATTACCATAGATGACACCATTTATAGAAGGGTAAAAACTGCACGGCAATGGCGCAAACCAGCGCATAATTGACATTGTCGCAAAGAAATCCAAGTACTGATAACTATAGTTAAGTTAACGCGGAGTGACAAAGTTTGTACCAGAACTTGCACTATGCAGGAGCATAATTATTGGATAGATTACAGACTAGCGCATATTTGGCGCTTAGTTACAGTAATAAAAAGGTAAAAACCGCATTGCAAAGGCGCATAATTGATATTGTCGCCTATAGTAAAGTTAGGCGGGGTGCCAAAATTTCTGCCAGAACTTGCACCACGCAAGGGCGCAAAGTGGAGCATAACATTGGATAAACTCCAAACTAGCGCATATTTGGCGCTTAGTTACCATACATGACACTGGCAAAAACCGCATTGCAAAGGAGCAAACCAAAGCATAATTGATATTGTTTCAAAGAAATCAAGGTACAGGGTGTTCCATGTTCGGCACTTATAGGGTAACTCTGTAATTGTTACTGCCATTAAAAAAGTAACATAGGCTTCATGTACTCTTTTTGGGTCAAACTTGAATTCTTAAAATCAAAATTTGAACATTTTGCGCTGGGGGAAAATTAAAAAATTGTTAATTTCACAATGACTGCACATGTTCTTAGTTAAAGAGAACCTCAGAAATGTTTATTACAAAACCTTCTATCAGTTGCCGAAATAAGTCTACAGGGTCAGGTAAAAAAGGTTCTCAGACCTAACCTCATTTTTGTAAATGGAACACCCTGTATATTTTAACTTAAAAGATAGTATATTATATAACATAAGGAACTCGATATGGGATGATATTCAAAAAGATTTAAAAAAACGTAGGTTTTTAAAAAATTTCAAACAATTATTGAATTTTATTAAAAACATGTAATCTTTCTGAATCAATACTTAATTTTGTAGTGTTATATTTTTGAAAAGAGAATTTCATCTTTTTTGATTAAAATATACAAGGTGTTCTATTTAAAAAAATGAGGTTAGGGCTGACAACTTTTTTACCTCATTCCATATACTTTTTTGGTTGAGGTGGAGGAAATTTTAATATGAGAGAGACCTCAACGAAGGGAATAGTTTCCTTCCATAACCCCCCCCCCCCCACGGCGCTTATTCCCCAAATGTCTACTAGGACGGAAAAATTCAATATGTATTTAGGATAACCCCCCCCCCCCCAAGCACCAATTTTATTATATGGCACTTTCCGACATATGTAGATGCAAAATATTACGTTACTTACCATTAAGAAAATGGAGGGAGGGGTGGAGCAAATCCTCCAAAGGCTGATGCCACTCTAATGAAAGGTATTGATGGCAGGGTAGTTGTATTTCCATCAATTCGCCTCCCCCCTCAATGGGGAGGGGGGTCACAGACTGGATTCAAGAAATTCCATTAATGACATTACTAGGAATGCCAGGGGGCGTTGTTCACATTTTCCATTAGGGCGCGTCGTCCTCTTAATTAAAAGTCGACAAAAGGAATAGTTTCATTTGAGAAATATTCAAGTTTACCTCCCTCCCCCGTTCCACTCATTATCTAATACGGTGCATTAGCCCCACTGGGGTGGAAGGTGGGGGAAATCCTTCCGAGGTATGCCTTCATGGACCGCTAATGAAAGGTCTAGATGCGAGGAATAGATTTCTCCCACCAATTCCAATTCCCCCCCCCCCCAACTCTTTACACTTCCAGCTAGGGTGGATTGGATCCCTTAAGACTGATTATGGGAATGATTGTGGTAGATGATAAATGTCTGCTAACTGTTTGGGACACTAAACACAGTGAAAAGGGTGGAGGGGGCAATTGGGGGTGGAGAATATTCTTCTAGGTATCCCTTCATGATACTCTAATGAAAGGTCCAGATGCGAGGAATTGGTCACTTTCACTAATTCCAGTTTAACCCCCCTCGCCTCCCCACATTATAAATTAGAGCGGTAAAAAAATTGAATTGGGACAAATTCTAACCGCGAAAAAAAGTACTATTTTTGCATTGGACCTACGCTTTGCTTGAAAGAAGATAGATGGCGATCGCCGTCCCGATAACCTCCTGCATATCGGATCCAATGATGGCAATCTCGATCATAATCCACAGTAACATCCTGGGCAGCTTCCTGTACTGTCTGTGGCACATCTCGGCGAGATGCAATCCCGTGACGACTCCCAACCTCGCCGACAGCCTCTGCATGAGCAGCCCGAGGAACGTCGCACTAAGTAACACCCACAATAACTTATACTGCGCGATCGTGCCGCTCTGTAGGTCGTTCTCGATGTTGCCCGGGTCGAGGTAGGCGATCGACATCAGGAAACCGGGTCCCGTAAACGCCCATAACTTTCGAAAGCTGAAACCCGTCTGAAAACAATGCGCACTATTTCACCTCGCCCGCTGTTAGTCGAGCTTACTGTCTCGGTTTCGGGTATGTTGATCCGCTCGTCAGCGAAATAGGTCTGAACCGGCGTCAGTAGGGTGCTCTCGCTCGGTATGGAGCTGCACGAGGCGACGATCGCCGCCGGTACCGGCCTGTCGTCCGATGAGTCACCGGAGTCGCCGGTTTTGTTATCCATGATAGCCATGGCTGAAACAAACGACATTTCGTTTAGCTCTTCCTTGAAAAGTCAAGTGACGTACAGTCTGAACTTTGTAATCGATAAGATAATCACATACGCGTCTTTTATCTAAGGTACCTGACTCTAATCGTGGGATAGTATTGACTGATACGCTGTAGGTAAAATAAAACTGAATCACTTTCGAAATTACCTCGTTACCTTCAGTCTCGATTGTTTATTGCATAACGAAACTAATATAAACAATTTTAAAATCTCCTGAATGTTGTGATTGGGCAACTACTCTCATGGTCACTCGAGGTACACTTCTAATTACATACCTTGTATATAGGACTGCGTTGCAAATCACTGGTTAATTAATTAACTAAAAAAAGAAAGCTACCGATTTATTTAATTAAACCATTTTTGCTACTGCATCTGATTATCACCACTTCAGCACGTTTCGTAAAAGAATGGACTATTTCTCTACGTCGTCATAAATGGGAGAGCCCCCCACCACGTCAATTACTATCGTTCCGCTGATAAATCATACTTTATCAGTTATGCAAGCGATTTATTACAAATTGTTACATTCTCTCGCTTTGTTTGAGCTAATTTCGTGATGACAAAGCGAAAGACAAAGTAAAAGGTTAAAAAAAACTGGAATTTTGATAGGTTATGTTGTTTGTTTTTGTCGGCAGTGGCGTACGCATCTGAGCCCACTTTTTAAGGCAGTGGTGTAAGTGCCTCGGCTAAAAGTGGGATAAAAAATTCCCCCAAATTTAATAGCGTGCATTTATGAGAGCTGTTATTATTTATTATATTCACATGGAAGTATGCGAAATCCCAGAACATTAAGGTCGGGGAAATTCCCTTTATTACGACAGCTTTAAAAATAGGTAATAAATTGAAATAAAAACGTAAGCAAATGAACGACACGAGTCACTCGTATCCGAAGTGATCGAGTAATGTGATTCTACCTTTACTGCACCGAGAAAGCATCGGGAAAAGTACACAAGTGCGTGGATTACCGCTAAGGCGCCAACTTAACTCTGATATTACGTTTTTCGATCGATACCCGTTACCCCGGATTGATGATCTACAATCCCGTTTGTTATTAGGTCTCCGTGAAAACAACAGACCCGGATAAAACAGGATTCTTCATTCCTTTTGGCATCTATCGTTTCCTTTGTATGCCCTTTGGGTTGCGTAATGACCCGTCGACGTTTCAAAAATTGCGAGTGCGGTAACGTGGGTGAGGCCAGCGCGGTCGATTAGCCTCTGGAAGATGGCGAGGGCGTTTTTGAGACCAAAGGGCATGCGGTTGAGACGGTACAGTTTAATGGTTTTCCGAATTTCCTTGGTGAGATCTGGGAATGTATTGATCTTAGTGCGCGGCACTACCTCTTGGATCCGGCGGTGGAGTATGCTCACGTGGAATGTGTTCCTGGGGAATCTTGGCGATCAGGGCGCGCTTCTCGCTGATGAACAGGTCGGTCGGTTTCATCGCCTGCTCCGTCGCGAAGAACTTCCCTAGTAGTCGGTGAGTTGGGATGGTAAGGCCGAAATTTTCTTTGAGGAGAGCGACGGCTTCATCCCACGAGGTGATGGTTTCGCACCTTACCACCAGGTTCCCGTTTCCCTTGCAGAAGCATCGCTAGCAGCCCTTTGATGGAGTTGTCCTCAGCGATGCACTCGCAGTCTTTGTTCACGGCGAGGAATGCGTGCACATCTTCTGCGTCTCCCTGGGCAGGCACTTCGACAACGATCCCCTCAGTGCCTTCATCGTTGCTCGATCAAGACTTGGAGCTGGTTCATGGCGAGGGTGATTGGGGTTCGGCCATTTTGGTTCTCGACTGCGATCTCGTGAATGGTGAAATCTTGAGACCTTTGTAATGTTCCTAGGGGGGGTCTATCAAGCAGACACGGAAAACGTTGACTTACCCTATACTTACGGTTGGCAACTCTGGCCAAAACTACAAACAGAGCCACCTACCTTTCAAGTCGAAACGTTGTTAGATTCGCGACACCTTTGAATTTGGGTGGCAGTCGGCTCGATATGGGTGGAACGAATGGACTCCTACGTTGTGTAATCGGTTCTTTTATGTGTTGGGACGTGAGACATAATCGGGAAGGGAATTAAATAAAAGACAGAACTTTTGTGCGTAACAAATGACAAGATCAAATAAATATATTAACGCACACACAAGACCATGCCAGGGAAACCTTCTCCGGGACTAAAACCCTGGCATAGGCCACACAAATACATGAAATAAATCACCTACACATAAATGAAACATCTCAAATTGTATGATAAAAATCAGATAATCAAATCAAATGCAATTAAACAAGTTCATAAAATCAAAATACACAAGACATCATAAATGCAGTGGAAAACATGATAAATCAATTCAGTACAAAAACACATCAAAATACCTGTACGATCAATAGAGATAACACAACTCGTCAAATAAACAAACTGCATGTACATAGGAAACATGTAAATGGTGTGGCTCTACTCCAGCCTTCCGTTAACATAATTTAATTTAACACGAAAGGTACATGTGAGAATGCCATTAGTCAAAAGCAAGTATTCATGTGAAAATCGATTATCGCTCAAGCAGAACATATTTTAAATAGAGGAAATGTAAATGAGAGGGCCCCCACTCGTATTGCTAAGATGTTAAGAACTACAATCCGCACGAGACGAGTAGGCAACAGATACAGCGAAAGATCTAACTGCATTAGTTACCTACTCCACGGAGACAGAATTACCCACTCGCACACACAAACATCGAAACATCAAATACAAGAGCCCCACTTCGTATAGCTAACGCACAAGAACTGTAGCGCTCCACGAAACAGAAAGTAACAGATACAGCGAACAATCAAACTGTATTAGGTACTTCCCTCACGGAATAGTTACAGGTCAATCGAACAGAGCAACATCACACCGATAATCAACTCTCATGAATAACAGAAGTAAATACTTAATTAAACAAAATAATGGCATAATCATCTGTATAATATAAGACACAAACATGATTCATCTAACGGTACTCAAAACAAAGGCATGGAGTACGCCATCATTCGGATATCGTAGTTTATGCAAAATCAGCAAAATGTAAATATCAAATTGTGGCAAGAAATTCAATGATTAAATAGCTAGTACAAGAAAGAATAAAATGGTTACTACCTGTAAATACACCTCAAAACACCATCACCAAAAATAATCAAGAATAATAAAAAAAAACCGGGAAAGCGTGTGCCTTCCGTCGACCTCGTCGCCATCTTCCTCCCATTCTCCCCTAGCCTCCTTACCAAAATCCCCTAGTATTCGGCATCTGCGCAAAACGGTCGTTGGTTATATACAGAGCATATTATATTTTTGTTTCAGCTGTAAACGTGTGTTGCCTAACCATCAGGGTGGATTATCACACCTTCTACTTGGGCTTCAGTTGTTGGAATTGTTTTGGTATAATATTTTATTAGCCACGATGCGAGTTGTCGTAAGTAAGAACTTATCTATGTACACTAAACTAATATATGTACACACTTAAACACAACATTTTTCTTGAGTTATTAGAGTCACAGAATTTAAATTCGCCCGTTTAAAAATTCCGCTATTGTTCGTATTTACCGTAATAGTTTCTGAAACGCTTCTGGATTTTTACCTTTATGCCCCACATGAAACCTGCCTATCTTCCATTAGCGAGTCCCGCACAGGCACAGGGGATAAAGTTGAATTTTTCTTGCACGGTTGTTGTAAATTGGACATAAAAAGTGGTCTCATTATTTGGCAAGATTTATTAATTTTGTTGGGGTTGTGCTACGTGGGCGACGATCCTGACTTTTTAAATGCATTTGAAAACTTAAGGCGCCTGTGACTCGTGGGATACGGTGTGATTGTCTTAGGTTACAGGAAAAATACTGTTTGTGTTGCAGTAGTTGTTATCTGGGTTGCTGCGTGATGTGGAATGCGCAGAATAAACTCCGCGTGGACTTGATTTATATCCTCTGATTCGTTTGAGCGAAGAAAAGTTCTCTACTACATGAGCCAAGAAAATCTAGGTGTGTTGTAATCATATCTTAAAGTAACTTGCAACCTAAAAATCTGTACATAATGCACTTTTTAATCTGTTGGTACACACATCGTTTCATAGTTCATCAAGATCAAAACAAACATCAGTACGGAATTTTCCAATTTAAGCAATGTAAATGAACTTATCACATCAAAACAGGGCATAAGATCAATTAGAAGGCGATTACAAGCAACTCCAAATAGTCATGATAACCAAACCAAGCAAAACGCTTATTAATAGTGATTAGTTTAATTAACTGTGTTGCCTTTTGCACTCAATGGCACTTATTCGAATTAGATTCATAGGATTGTTCGCGATTTTTTGAAGTTTGGAACGTAATTGGTCCGCAAACGGATCCTTGCGCAACTCCTTAGTGAAAGGATTGAGCGTATAATAGTTGCAATGCTGCAAATCTCAAGCACCCATTTCCCTTTTAAATCATCCTAAGCGATCAAGCCTTATTGCCCCATTTATCAATCAAGTGTCAAATAATCCAACTGATTGTGACAAAACTGAGATTTTGATGGATATTGGGTAATCGGAATGTGAACTACTAAAAACGACATCCACTAAGAGTTCTGTGGCGATATACCCCTGCGGTTAGGCAACTCACCATACATCTGAAAGAATGGCGATATGGGAAAAAAATACAAAACGCTCTATACAACATATACCTATACCTTTATATTGTTTATTTATATTGCCCCATTGTTCCATTTCTTTTACCCGCATTTTTTCACCACTCCGTTCTCTTTGCCCCCTCGCCTACCTTTCTTTTTGCTCTCTTTTCACGGTATCAACGAAAAAAGTAGAAACATGAGAAGGTGTATGCCAATAAATTTTACGTCTCCTATGATCCTGACACCGAGGACGCGCGTGCTGGAGAATGTGGATCAGGAGTATTATATTTTCCACCCTTCATGATCTCCTGACCTTGACATTACAGAAGTTTGTATAAAACAAAAAGTTAGGGATCAGGACTCAGGAGAGCATGATACAACAGAAAGTCTCTGCCAATCCATTTTACACCGCACATTTCTGCGATACTGATACAAAAGAGGTTTGAATCAGGCGAATATAATACACGACAATAAATTATATACCATCTTGAGGTTTTGTAACCCTGATACTTGGTTGCAATTCGTATTAGGAGAAAATATACCAAACCTACCGCAAATTTATACAAATTTTAAATAGAACCTACCCACACACTGAAAGAAATTCATGCAGAGTTCACCGAATCCACATACAAAATATAGAGCGACTTCACAGAATCCCATGGGAAAGTGTACGCTAATAAACTGCATCTCTGTGACCTTGATAGTTATGTTTATAAAAGAGGAGTTCGTATTCTCAGCAGATACTGTGTGAGAACAAGTACGCAAAATGGATTTGACGTTTTCTTGAGTTTCTGGAGTCCTGCTACTACAATTTTTATTGATCGCCAAATACCCCCTAACGTAGCATGTTCTTCTGTTAAAAATCATTTATTCTATTGATACTTGCTCCCCTCTTAAAAACCGTAGTAACACGATCAAGGAAGCTCCAGCTGAGAGACACTG